GATAGGAAAGCCGTTGTTCTATTTTGAAGCAGATCACGCGGTTTGATCGCTTATTTTGAACTATAGGAGAAACGGAAGAAGTTAGAGAGAAACTTTGAACGAGCTAACAGTGAGGCATCCCCCAATGTTCAATCGGCGTTCTCCCTTGATTTGATGGTTTTCCGCGTCGTCCACTTCAGCCGTCAGGCCTCGTGCCTGAGTCCGGAGCTGGAAAACGAGTGCCTCTTCACACCAGTTGAACTGGAACAAAAGACGGAGTAAAGTTTCGTTTAGCTGGGATTTATAGCTTTCAGCGGTCTGGCGGGAAGACTGTGTGGTTCCAGCACATGCGCAGAACTTGTGTTCTGGGGTTCGACGGTGACGTCATCACGTTGCTTCCGGCTCAAGGAATCATGCGAAATGAAGTCTCTTGGCACTGGGATTTATTATCTGCTTTCTCAGAGCGCAGATGAAACAGTTTTCGGAGAAAATGCTGCGTAGCAATTTTCTCATGAGGGTAGACGCTCCAGGGCAATTTTGGCACAGTCTTTTGGAGAAATTACTGCATAGTAATTTCCTCATGAGGGCAGACCCTCAACAGAGATGATTTTCATGTTTTTTTTATTATATTCCTGTTTATATATATGTGTCTTAGCCCAGATGTATTTAATTTGCTGTGATTTTTCCGTTTATTGTTCCAACTTTTTTAGCACTTTTCTTAGCTGAGATGTATTTCATATGTTGTGTGTTTTTACCATTTATTGCTTTTAATGTTTTACACTTTGGTTGACACTGTTGTGATTAAAGTGCTCTATAAATAAATCTGGATTGGACTGGATCGTGAATACTAATGGGTAATACTCCAAAATTCTGCCATCTTCTGCCCCATACTCCTCTAACTAACTTCTAATTCCAGAAACAGAAGAACCAAAGCATTTTCCCATATACGACTCACAAAGGCATTAATTTATACTAGCGTCCACAGGAAATGCATTGAAACAACAAGTGATTGAGAACTTTAATAAAAATCTTGAATAGTAATGTACTTAGTATAGACCCTTGGGGAACACCCATGGATAGAAGTGTTTGGAGCAGACATTACACATTTTTAGACTGTTGTCATGTCCGTTGACATACAAGGCATTTGATGATAAAATACATCCTAAGTATGTTTTCCACATAGTATTTGCACAAAGGTTTAGACAGGAAATCAAATTTCCACCCAGTGATAAAGAAAATAAAAGCCTCGTCCTGGTGTGACAGCACTTCTGAAGGAGGCACCAGAATGCTCTAACAGACTGGACTGACTGTTTTCAGTTTTTTTTTAAGAATAGAAAGCTCAAACAGTTAGTAGAATAACAATCAAATGTCAAAGCATTTATTTTGAAAGCTTTATCCGTATTTTCATTGATTTAGATCTCTCGGGGAGGCTAATGAGATCAGTTTCTGAGACGGTGTATTGTTTGATGTTGAAGAACAACAAAGAAGGAGCTGATAAATATGCAGAAATTGAAGAAGCATAGGTCGACAGGCTGAGTCTTTGGCAGTGTCCCTGCTTGCCATCACTGGACATGTTGCTTTTCAAGCTGTTGAGTCTGCAGTGCGCCCATCTGCACCGTTCCCTCCTGGAGACCAGCGTTTTCCCGTTTATTAAATCCCAAGCTTATGAAAAGTAATGAAGATGACAGTTTTTATTAAACCCTGTAAGGAGGGGGCATGTGGCTTTCTGCATATTTAAGACTAAAAGCAGCTATTAGGAAATGGGCTTATTTGCGATTCAGTCACCTGGGCCTTTCTGAATGAATTTATGTATGGCAACTTGTTTCCAAGGTTATTAAAGGTTGAGCTTGTCCTGCACCACTGTGAATGTGACACTGCATCTGCACCCTTGCTGAAGGCAGGAAGCGGTTTGGGTCTTTCATCTGGGCCGGCGTATACCGCACCACGATCAGTCACATTTTCCATCCTTAGCAGACAAAAAAGCCTAACCACTTGACTGTGTTTCACATGAAGACTTGACATTATCTACTACCTGGTATAGAAAACCACCATGTGTCATGTTTTCCACAGTCTGACATTTAAATGAGAAAAATAAAAAAAGGTCCACGCTGAGATCTCACAATTGGGAGCGACTGGTTTTAAGATGAGTTTTCTCTTGCTGAGCAGTCAAAATGAAATGATGGGAAGCTTTTATGAGATGTTTCCAAATCCACCTGCTCCCCTGTCTCTAATGACAACTGGCCTTTATGTGCTTCCATGGACACAACCAACATGAGGACCGGGTGGGGTGTGTGTGTGTGTGTGTGTGTGTGTGTGTGTGGGGGGGGGGGGGGGGGGGGGGGGGGGGGGGGGGGTTGGGATCAGATCTGTCAAGTACACAAGTGGCAGTAAAAATAAAACTTTGATTTTCACCTTGTCATTGTCACCATTTTACGCTTATTTTTCAATTCAATTCAATTTTATTTATATAGCGCCAAATCACGACAAGAGTCATATCAAGGCACTTCACATAATAAACATTCCAATTCAGTTCAGTTCATTAAGCCAATCAGAAATACGTTTCCTATGTAAGGAACCCAGCAAATTGCATCAGCAATCCTCATCCTAAGCAAGCGTATAGCGACAGTGGAGAGGAAAACTCCCTTTTAACAGGAAGAAAGCTCCAGAGAATCCTGGCTCAGTATAAGCAGCCATCCTCCACGACTCACTGGGGATCGAGAAGACAGAGCACGCACACACACACACACACACACACACACACACACACACACACACACACACACACACACACACACACACACACACACACACACACACACACACACACACACACACACACACACACACCAAGTAATGTGTCTATAGTTATATTGTGATTTCTTAGTAAATATTCTATTTGGTGAGAGATAAACTTTATTGTATTTATCCTAGTGGATCTATAATTAAACAGATTAACTAGTAGTAGCACACCCAATGTCAAGGAAAGCAAAAAGTTATTATCAGGAGAGGGAGAATGTTTAAGTGGTTAGCAGCAGTGTGCTAGACGATGGCCCCCTCCATGAGGCCACCACAGCTCAGCAGAACATCATTGTAGCTTCTTCTGGGGAGAAAAACACTTAGAGAAAATAAAGTTAACAGCTGAAATTGCAGGAAATAATACAGTTAAAGAGCAGATCGTAGAAGAAAGTAGTCGAGTGTGAAAAGTGGTCAGTGTATCCTCCAGCAGTCTAAGCCTATAGCAGCATAACTACAGAGAACTCTGGATAACCTAGCCTTTTTAGATGGAGGCATGTTGGAGGCAGGGCAAGGGAGAGCCGTCTTTACCGACTGTACACTCCACCTCCCTCTACTCCCCCACTTGTCCAGATTTAGGCTAACATCAGATTTTAACCATAGGCCCCATCAAATAAAAATGTTCTAATCCTAGTCTTAAAAGTAGACAAGGTGTCTGCCTCACGGACTAAAGCTGGGAGCTGGTTCCACAGGAGAGGAGCCTGATAACTAAAAGATCTGCCTCCCATCCTAATTTTAGATATTCTGGGAATCACCAGTAAACCTGCAGTCTGAGAGCGAAGTGCTCGGTTAGGAACATATGGAACAATCAGATTATTGATGTATGATGGAGCTTGATACTTGAAATAAAGTATTTCTAGGAACCAGCCTGCATTTGGTCCGAAGTCCGATTCATAAGCACACCATCATAAAAAACAACTCAGTGGTTTATCTCTTGGCTTAAATAATGCTCAGTCTTTGTTAAATAATTTGATGCAGTTTCCTGTTTATCTTGTGTAGCAGCAGCAGGTTTTCAGCTCATGATGGAAGCTAATAAAATTCACCCAAGACCTCAAGTCAAGCTACAGCACATCCAATATCCATCTTCTGTTTGATCTTCAACTCAAACTTTTGGAGTCAGCCCAATGCAAGATGGCCACCGTGGACTGTAATTTTGCAGGTACTGGTGTGAATGTAGCTGAGAGTCATGCACAAGATTTTGAGTTGTTGTGTGGGATAAAACAGTTTTAACTCCATCTTTTCTCAACATAAGAAGGTTTAAAACCGATGTGAAAGGTGTCAGGTGATGTGCAGTCCTTGGAGAAGGTATTTCTCAGGCAAAAGCAGATCTAAAAAATAGAAATATTGTGATTTTGTTTCTTTATGTAACCCCAGACTGCATGTCTTTACTTTCTTCTGCTCCATTTTTATTGATTTTCTTATGTTATTACAAATAATTAAAGGTGAACTTCACTGAAAAACAGTTAATGATTATTTCTGATAAAAATCTGCCACTCTGAGTTCAATTTGCAGGCTGAACATGAAAATAGTCTCCTACACCTATCTCTTACATTAGCTTCTGATAGAAAACAGACGGTGAAACTCTAGGATTAGAAAATCCTGACAGATCTACGTCACACTGTTACTTAACATTTGTGGCCTCACCCATCTTGGCTTGCCACGAGAAAGGCTGTTGTTGTTTTAGCTTCCAGGAAACGGCAGAGAATGTCTTGACTAGTAGAAGCTAACTCCAAACTGCAAAGCAACTCCACCGCAGCAGAACTCCTTCAGGCTTGTTTTACTTGTGGAGATAAAATGTCCACATTGCAATTCAGTGGTAGTCACATTGCTGTTATCCAATCCGAGGCGAGATGTCCAAATATCAGGAAATAAGACCTCAAATATTTTCCGTCCACAAACAGGTGCACTGGAGCTTTTTTTCCCCAGAGTATGACATTCATTGCTACTAGAGACCGCTGCAAATGTATGAAAAATATGAGTAAAGTTTACTTTTAAAATAGGAATTTATCTACTCTTTACAGGCACCTGATTGCAAAAAAATGAGGACATTAATTTTCACCAATTTAACACATATTTCTGATTCATTTAAAATGGATTATAAAGTTCTTGTAGATAGATAAATAAATAATAAAAATAATTAACTGGACTTCTGAGTCTCTTCTGTTGGCGTGTCGTGCCTTTCCCCCCTCTCACCCTTTAACGCATGGTTGAAATGAGTCGCCCTGAATCCTATCAGCTTTGATCAGCTGTGTCCACTTATAAATAACTGCACAGAAGTCTAATAATAGACGCAATAACAAATGCCCCATGTTGTTGCAGCTTGGCGGTGGGAATAAATGGAGAGCCGGGATTATATTTGGGGTTTGGAGCCAGCGAGACCCTTTAAACACTGTTCCTGTCATGTTGGGGCTGTGCTGTCAGCCAAGTTGGCACTCGTTTAACAGCCAGGCTGCCAAACACACCTATTTATTACTACTAATAATGTTCCCCCTCCCATCCTGCACACAGGTCACTCGTGTTGTCTTACACAGGGGAGATTCTCTTTTCTGCTTCTTCAAGTCAGAAGTCTTCATCACTCCGCTGTTTTAGGAGAGATATGATCTCATTTGTTTATTTTTAAACAGTCTAAAGTTATCGAGAAGAGGAAGAAAATAAACTTCTGCTGTCATAAAAGTGTGAATCAGACCTAAAAACAAAACACTGACGCTGTCATGGATTTTATCAATATGTTTATCAATAACCCATTCCAAAAATGACCCATTTCCTATAGTCGGGAACATTTGTGGTGAGAATATCAGCTAAGCTCTGCTGGCATAGCAGCTTTAAAAGTATAATTATCTTTAACTTTAAAAATAGTTTTACTGATTTTAATTGGAAGATAAACAGGAGTACTGCTTCTTCATACAAGCACATCTGAGGTATACATACAAAAATTAGGATGTGCTTGGAGTGTAGAGTGCTACATTAGCGCCAATTTCCCATCATGCAGTTTAGAAGAGAGTTGTCTGGATCAGCACCATTTTTAATTAGACTTTTTTTTGGCAACGCTGGTTCTCTACAGAAGATTTAAGAAATTCAACAAGGTTTATTTTAACTTGGTTGTAAATAAACTGCAATGAACACATGAAGTAGTTCAGACGGACTTCCTCTTATGACTAGTGATCATAACACCACTCTTCCTCATTCTCCTTCGATTACATTGCAAGTGTAATTTTATTTTACTGAGAATAATAACAGATTTGTAAAGTGTAAACATTATTTTAAAATGTTTGCACCAGTTGATTTAAATTAAAAGCAAAGTCATTGCTCATGAGTAATAATAAACTTATAACCATTAAGTAACTTCGTAAACATTGAAATGAGATCAGGACATATCCCCAGGAAGATTCTGTCATCAGTTCTGTGCCCCTGAAACCCATAATGTCAAGTGAAAATGTAATAATAAGGGGGAAAAAACCATTTATATGAAAAACAACATTCAAGTACTACTGGTTTTATGAATTTTGCAAAAGCTAAATCCAGCTACAGTCACACATTTTGGCTAAACACCACACTGCAACCATAGACACTTATAACACTGTATTTTGCTTTCTTTATTTAGAGGGCTAAATTTACTGAGTAAATTAAGAATTTGTGTTTATTTTTTATAATCAACAAACAATGTTCTAAAATAGCTGTGCATGTTTACACTGTTAACTGTATGACTTGATTTGATCTGGAGACCTGCACATTGGCTAATGCCACAACTCTGGAACAGGGAGCAGTGGTAAGATTTGCTAAGTTAGTTTCAGTTAAAGGTTTACACACTGAAAACCCATTTTTAATGATTATTTCTAAATATAATGAGTCACTTTGAGTTTTTTATACAGGCTGAACATGTAAAGAGTCTTCTACACCATTCTCCTGCATGATAGAAAATAACATTGAAACTCTAGGATTAGAAAATCCTGACAGATCTACGTCACACTGTCACTTAACATTCATGGACTCACCCATCTTGATTTATGGCAGGAAAGGCTGCTGTTGATTTAGCGTCCAAGAAGCGGCAGAGAACGTCTTGCCTAGTGGAAGCTAACCGCTAGCATTAGCAACTTTACCACATGACAGAAGCTCACCTATTTGAGGAGATAAAACATCCATGTTGTCAGTGTCAGTGGAAGAGTCACGTTGCTGTTATCCAATCTGAGGTTAGATGTTTAAATATCAAGAAATGAGATTACAAAACCTACCATCTGAAGCTCAACTGTGATGTGGGTCCCTAGTTCCAAATGGTGGTATATGACCATATTCATCTGGGTTTAATAAATAAATAATTAATTTCTTGATTAAATAGTAAAATAATTAAAATGTACTAAAATCTACTATGTGGGTACTCATGTACCACAGTTTGCTAACAAATTATATAGTTTGCTAACAAATGAGCAGGGTTAAAATAGTTATTGGTGAAGCTTAACAGGAATTTTAAAACACAAAAAATTAGACTTTGTGTGTATTCGGTGAAAATTTAAAATTATTGCCAATCTAAAGATAAAGAATAGAATACAAAATCTCTTTATTGTCACAGTAGCAAGCAAAGCAACACAGTGCAGATACATAACAGGAGAAAAAAACAATAAAGAGAAAAAGGTTGTATAAAAGATGCAAATTTTTGACTTTATACACATTTTAAGATAATATGCTGGGCATTTTCTAAACTAATATTTATAAAATATTAAATTTTTTTACCTTTAGCTTTTCAGTGAGAAGGAAAAAAACCTGATAGCTATTTTACAGTTGTTCAATCGTGTCTAAACACAAAAAAATAGTTCTAGCTGCTTTGTTCTAAGATATTTAGGTCAGTTGTATATATTACTTGAGACGAATTGACAAACGTTTTTACAGCAGCTAAATCACCAGATCACGAGTTTACGAGCTGTACTTGAAGGCACCGCGTCTTCTTCCTCAAGCTCCCCACAGAGAATTTTGATTGGCTGCCAGTGACATCATCCCTCCTCGTGTTCCGGGCTGGAGGCAGCCCCCCCGCCTACCTCCGTCCGCGGCTCTTCCAGGCTCCTCCCACCGCGGGGCTGAACCAGACTGTACGCAGAGCTTCCCGTTTAATATTAATGAAGCCGCGCATTGGCTCCGAGTCGCGTCAATTCCGCGAGCGACCTCAGTAGGCTGGCAGACTTCCTTCAGTATTATTTCTAAAGGGGAGCAGGGAAAAGTGCTAAAAAATGTTCCCGATGCACAACGCCGGGACGGACTGAATGGAGTCAGCTGTCAGGGGGGATCATAAATCCATCCGCAGCCAGGGGTGACACTCACCGGTAAGTTATCAGCAGAGTATTAAGTTGTTATTTTAAAGCAGTCAGAGGTTCTGACGTTTATAAATAATGAAGAGCAAAATGCTGCAACCATTTTTTTATTCTATCTGATTTTTCCCCATCGCTTGTGCTTATTTCCCTCATCTTTTAATACGTGTCTGTAAGAAAAAGGGGTTTTTCCTCCAGTCTGCATCATCTGTTCTCCGCCTAGAAGCAATATCACATTCTCGGCACGTTCTCATGCCGGTTTCTTCAATGAATTTTGGCCATGAATGATCTCCACTGCTTTCTGTTGAAGCTGCAAGGTGCTAGGAGGATGGCATGAAGCGGCCGGGACAGGCACAGCTCGGCAGGCGTTTTTATTTACATAATGCAGCAGAAAAACCCACCAAATCCACCGGATTAAAGGAAATTACCACATCAGTTTATCCTGACATCATTTTAGGAGAGACTAAACTGCAGTGTGGCGGTTTGATGCAGCATTTTCTCCCCTTTTTTTCTATCTTTCTTTTTTTCATCACACACACACACACACACACACACACACACACACACACACACACACACACACACACACACACACACACACACACACACACACTCTGATGATTCCACTGTTTATTATTAGTGGGCATGTCTGTCACTCCTACATTTTCCCACCGACTGGGTGTAGCTCTGCAGGTGTTGACACTGCTAACATTTGGTTCCGGCCGTCGTTTTCTTGTTTGCATGTTGAGGTCCGCCTGTTTAAGGTCCCTGATCAGAGCACACGTGCATTCCCCCAGAGCTGTTTTCATGCTCTGCTTATCTGTCTTCACAGAGCGGCTTGTTGACTTCTCCATAAACGTCCCAGCCCTCAGCATCCCCATGCCTCCATCTCCCCTCGACGACAGAATTGTGGTGGCGCTGCCAAGGCCGATCCGACCTCAGGAACTCAAACTGCGCCTGGACACCAGCTACCTGGACTCCATCACCAGCAGCAGCAGCAGCGACACAGTCATCAGCACCACTGTGGTGAAGATCCGGGCGACGGCCAATCTTGTAACGTATATGCCCTCATCCAAGGGTTCCACGCGCTCATTGTCGTGTGGATGCAGCAGTGCCAGCTGCTGTTCTGTGACTACCTATGAGAAGGACAGCCAGAGCCTCAGCCACAGCCAGGTGAGCGCCAGCAGCCCCAACCTCAGCTATGCTGGGCCCCCCGCTCCTATGGTGAGCAATCATGAAGCACTTAGTGCCCCCAGTCTGGTCCCGGGCACTCTGAAGGCCCTATCCAGCCTGAGGGTCATCCACCCCCATGAGCTGGCCAAGCGGATGACCTGCTGCCCGTTGGGGCACCCCGTGGGGCCCGTGCCGGTCATCATCGACTGCAGGCCCTTCATGGAGTACAACAAGAGCCACATCCACGGGGCCGTGCACATCAACTGCTCCGACAAGATCAGCCGGCGGCGGCTGCAGCAAGGCAAGATCACTGTGCTGGACCTCATCTCCTGCCGAGAGGGGAAGGACTCTTTTAAGGGCATTTTTTCCAAAGACATTGTGGTTTATGACGAGAATACCACAGACCCCAGCCGGCTTACTTCCTCGCAGCCTCTGCATGTGGTTCTGGAATCCCTGAGGAGGGAGGGCAAGGACCCCATTATCCTCAAAGGTAACAGTGATGCAGGCTGGCCAAAATAAAGAGAAAGCTTATGAAAAGGGTTAAAAACACAATTTCAAAGGCTTTAAAGGAGCTAAACATCTTTATAGAGTTGGCATAACAAAGGTTGAAGCTTTGAGACTTTATAATCTGATACAAGGTAGTTGTTGTGTGTTTAAACTTTATTGTTCTGCTTGGCTCATGCTTCCTGTCAATGCATCATGTTAGATCTGCCAAACCAATATTCAAACAGCCCCACTCAAATATAGACGCATGGTCACCTTCTTTCTCTACGACACACATTGAGCGTTCAAGCAAAGAGCGACAAGCAGCTGTTAGTAAATACGACAGTCTGTTGAGATTCTTGGGTTGCTGCCATGTTTTCCATCCCTGGTTTGCATGTTTGAAGCCGGAGCGCACATGTTGTGTTCAGGGGTTGGCTGGATCAGAGCACCTTGATCCCTTCTCTTCTCTTCACGTCTGTTCTCCCCTCCGGTCTTCCTGTGGGCTTTGATGAACGAGGCTTCTCTCCAGTTTTCTCATCCTGTTCTGGTGTTTGTCTGAAGCTCGTCTCAGTGGGAGGAACAACCAGATGTTCTCTTCATAAAAAAAAAAAACCAAAACGCGCTCTTCTTTTTAAGAAGATGGCATCAAAAGGCTCTAGCTCAGCTTTACATGCTTATTTTAATACTGAGTCCATGCATTTATTTGCATTTACATGCTTGAATTAATAAAGAAACTACAATTTATTTTCATTTTTTCTCTAAAAAGACCAAATTTTGACTAATTATTACTTCTAATCTGATATTTTGATCTTTCATTTTACTTAAAATATCCGAGCTATGACGAACATAGCAAGAGTAAGCAAGTGACACATCTGGGGCACGCTGGTGTGGTCACTGCTGAATAATTTACACTCACTTCATCATTTGCTCAGTTACTACCACACACAAGTCAGCATTTACAGTCAACGTAAGAAGATGATGAGATACTTTTGCATAAATACTCCTTTACTGCTCCGCTGCAGCCAAGATCAGTGATCGTTTATATTTTGTCCAACAGAACAGTGGTAACCAACACTCTAGTTTGAGATAATGATCAGAGATGTGGACTCGAGTCACATGACTTGGACTCAAGTCAGGCTTGAGTCATTATTATACTTCTGACTTGACTTGATAAGTTCTATAAAGACTTACGACTTGACTCAGACTTGAACGCCAATGACTTGTGACTTAAATTGATTTGCATCCGTTGACTTGATGATGACTTGAGGATTATTGACATTTTAGCACAAAAGTGACACGACATGGACAAAAATCATTCAGGGTTTGATTTTGTACTGCTAAATGCAGCAGCGCTTTGTTTATCTGCTTGTTTGAGCAAACAAATGAAGCTTTAAGAAGCTTTATTTCTGGAATTTATTTATGATCATTGTCATTAAAATGAAGATGGACTGATGACTTGATTATGACTTAAAAATTCAAGATTTAGGACTTGGACTTGACTTGGACTTCCACATCACTGACTTTGGACTCGACTTGGACTTGGTTGTCTTTGACTTGGACTTGACTCGAGACTTGACTGGAAAGACTTGTGACGTACTTGTGACTTGCAAAGCAGTGACTTGGTTCAGTACTCCACCTAAAGGCTTCAGAGAAGTTCTGAAAGCAGTTTATTAAAACCACACCTGACTTGATTTGGATCAAAGCAAAAACAACAAAAGTTCCGCTTCAACCAAACCGGTTTTCACAGCTTGCTCAGTGTTTGAGCTAGCCAAATCACGTTCCCAATTTAGAAAAGATAAGTACTTGTTTACTGTCAGGAGCACGTGCTCCAGTCAGGGTTTAGAAATAGAAACAGTTTTAGGTAAAGTTGATTATCTACTTCATTTATTTTTGCAAGTAATACTTTCTGGCCAAAGATTGTTTATATATTTCAAAAAGTACAGAAAAAAGGGGATTTATTAATCCGGCAAGCAATCCTATATGAATATATAGTCTGGCCATGGCCCGTTCATGGCTCAGTCTTGGGGCGGGATCTACGGTTGTCTTTCAAACTGTTTCCACATACTCACCACTACGGATGTCAGTCAACGAGGCAGTCCACCATACTCCGTCAAAGAAGATGCAAATACATCCTTTTTCTAAATTACTTTAAGTACCTCTATCTCCTCCTGACTCAAAGAAAAGCCCTAGTCAAAATAGTCGAAAGTTGATGTCACAGCCGTTTCAAACGAGCCGTCGCCATCTTTGTTTTTTCGCTCAGTTGCATTAACCTCCCGCTCACTAACAGAAGGCTGTGATTGGCCCACCAAACCAATAGAGCGGTGTGATTGGACCGCTACGGAGCTGTGGCCATCTGGGTTTTGCCCAGTTGCACTAACATCTCGCCCATTGGAATGTTACGGTTGTCAGTGAACGGGGTATTCCACCATACATCCTTGAAGAAGACACAAACCCAACTAATAGAGCGTTGGGATTGGCCCGGCACCAGATGACCAGTGTTTTGGAGGTTCCAAAGAAGCCAAAAGGGTTCAAATGAAGGCAACTGGACTTATTTGGTTTCTTGAAAGTTGCCTTCATTTGAACCCTTTTGGATAACCATGAGCTGGATGACTGAGAACCTTCACCAAAGGAGTGTGGCTAAATCATCCTTTTGCTTCGGCAAACTGATGGTCTAGATTCCTAGGCTAGGGATTTATATGAGAAATCAATAAATGGACCAATGTCCTATTTGTTGGCAGGAAGGGGGCGGGACTTAAACGGTATACTGGAACCAGCCACTAGAGGAAGCTTGTTTCGGCTTCAACTCAAGTTTGCTTGGGTGTCTTCCAGTCAATGGTTGAGCCCAAATCATAGCTAAATCTTATGGTACGGTAAACTTTCTTTGGTAGTCAAGTTACTCATTTTGGATTTTATGTAGGCCTCTAAAATAGCTTCATGATTTTTTAAAAAAATGTTCTTCTCTATTCTTGTTGAGATTCTGGAAACACAACAAGAATACCTATTTGTGTGAAAATTCATTTTTCTCTAACATGTTTGGTCAAAACTTCCACCAAAACTTCCCTCTTTTTTCAAGTGTAATATTAACCGTGACATCCCATTTTCTTAAGGTCATGTGTTCAGGCTAATGTCTTTTATCAACAATCTGGTCATTCGGCAGTTGGCAGGAAATTCCCACCTGCTTCTCACCACCTTCCCAGTGGTGGGATTACTTCTTGCGGCATGATGTCACCTCTCGTGTGGTTAACTGATACCTAGACCCCTCCCCACAAACCAAACATTGACTTCGCCGTTACAAACAGGTGTTTTTGGAGAAGTGTGTTTCCCTGCAGAATAACAGGGAAACACACGTCTGTGTGTGTTTCTGTAATAGAAACCAACTGCTAAACGGTGCTTCTCTGGTTTTTCTGGTTCATTTAGACATGGACCCTCCTTATAAATTGTTATTCAAATGGGGACATTCAAATCAGAAACAAATTTGTTGGTGTAGTCAGGCGTTTGGAGGTTGGTCTAATGTCAGCAGCTGCTTTTTATCAGATGTGAATGCAAGCTTTGGTTGTCTCACTCAGCCGTAACGTTAGCGATGTGGCACTCAGAAGCATGAATGTGTGTATTTTTAGCATCAACAGCTTCTGTGGGAATTAAACCTTTAACCTTTGCTTGGCCCGCTCAGAACAAATGGGTCAAGTATAAAATTAAACATGGTGGAAGAAACTAAAACAAAGTGAGGATCATGTGCCGATTTTGTTGTCCGATTTTTGTGATGCTCCCCCCGCTGGTTCACATTTCTCTCCAAGAACTACAATTAAGAGCATATTAAGTAAGACTTTATTTGAAAAACTAACTTTTTCTCCAATATGGCTCCAGGTTTCATGATTTTCTTTGACTATCATTAGAAATCTAACGCTAAACTACTGATGCTACAACTCAAATTCACAGAACAGCTCTGATGTGTTCTTGTGGAAAAATTATTTTTAAGTGCTGGTGTTACGATCCAGGCTGTCTAGTGGGCCTGGGGTAACAAGGAGGACACATGCTCGGCTATTTAAAAGCTAACAAACAAATTTATTTACACCAAGGAAAAATAAACACAACTGGACTAATCGGCGGCAACTAAAATAGTAAAATACAATCAACTCTACCTAGCCAATATACCTTCAAATCAGGGAACCCCCTGCACATAAAAGACAGAAGTTGGCTAAAAAAGATTAAAACAAAAAGCACACCGAGGAGCCAACAGGACAGAGACCACATGTCCAGCCTGTTGCTCCCTGACGATGAGGGCTGGGTGGCATTTATGCAGTGAGTCCTCATTCAACTGCTGATTGTCATTGCCACCAGCTGGGACTTCAGGGTGGAGCCGGACAAGTGTGGGAGAAGCCAGGTGCTGCAAAACAGCTCCTCTCACACTAGAGGGATAAAACAGAGGAGTAAGAAATGAAATAAAAACATAAATGGCACCAGCCATAACAGCTGGATCTGCTGATCACCTGACAAAGAGTTGGTGCATCCCTACTGTCTCAACTCTCTAGTTTGGTAGCCAGACAAAAAGTGTGTCTTCTCTGTTTTCCACAGGAGGCCTTAGCTTTTTCAGGCAGAGCCATGAAAACCTGTGCGAGCACTCGCTGCACCTTCACGAGGGCTTGGACGTGGGCGCATCTGCCGGCCTGACGGGGCCTCTACCTCACTCCCTGCCATCCACCCCGGACATTGAGAATGCAGAGCTGACGCCAATCTTGCCCTTTCTCTATCTGGGGAACGAGCACGATGCTCAGGAAATCCACCTGCTGCAGCGCCTGAACATCGGCTACATCCTGAACGTTACCACCCACCTGCCGCTCTACCACTACGACACGGGCCTCTTCAACTACAAGCGCCTGCCTGCCACTGACAGCAACAAGCAGAACCTGCGTCAATACTTTGAGGAGGCATTTGAATTCATTGGTAGGGGATCTATAATGTTTTTTTTTTTCAAATTAGCAATGTTCTAAACTTCTTTTATTTACAAAAACAGGAAGAATCACAAACAGTCCTCCTGACATCGCAGTTTATTTAGATCTCTTTACAAATATGTTTAGTGTAAATTTAGTCTGACATTTCACTTTTTAACCAAAAACAACCATAATAAGCTCAGTTTTTTAGTATTTTGTCTTTGTTTTTACTGAAATCAGAGGCTTTAGATGTACTCTGGTCTTTAAAATCATCAAAAGTTTACAGAAAGAAAAAAGAAAAAAAACTTTCTGCTGAAGTAAATGTACAGAATCACTTGCAGAAAAAGTCTGTTTCCAGATAAGTTAGTTAACTGTTTAAAGTACAATAATTTCTCATAAAGTTATAGCCATGCAGCCTAAACCTATACACATTAATGGTATAAATCCAGTTTTGCTAAAGCGGCTGCTCCTATGCCCTACTGGTTGAAAGTGGAATTACACCTGTCCTAAACAAACCTGCAGCAGCCTGCTGTTGCTAGAGCTAACAGCAAACTAATGCTAACACAAACCAACGAATACTAAATAAGCCACACATTAAAAAAATTGACACTGTTGAACAAAAAATACTATTACTTACAAGTTCAGTGGCAACAAAGCCAGGTCATCATCAGTCCGTGATTTCGTAGCCTCCTTTAGGTCCCTCAAACGAGTGTAGGCTGCATCGAAGATCACTTTGTTTTTACTTCTTTGATTCACGTCCCAAAAATCATTCTCTAACTTTTACTTCCAGGCTCTGCCATTATGCCAACAAAGAAAGTAAAATTCTTTTTGTTGATGGTCTGCGAACAGAATAACAAACTGCTAGCCTTTATATTAGCTACCAGTGCAGTGATCATACCGAAAAGCTAGTAGAGACCTCCCACTTGTACTTGAACCACAAAACTGTTATGTGCAGTTTTTGGTCAGCAGAGGGCAACAGAGTGCTGTTCATAGATTAAAGTGTTAAAAATGCTTAGTGTTTATTCTAAAACCACCCGGAAGAACTAAAACATACACGTTAGAGCTCAATGGGTTATTTTTGTGTAGTCATCTAGACATTTCAGTTTAGGGAAATGATGACTCTAAACACATAATTTGCCTCAGCGTTACAGATATGATTCATAATTGCAGTGGCAGTTTTACCATTAGGCATAGGTCGGCGGCTGCCTGGGGCCCCCTTATGTTGGTGGGCCCCCTAGCCCTGACCGCCGGCACCCCTCTGTTAATGCCACAATGGACTATTCCTTTAAGACGCCGATGCACAAACAGGACGCGAATGGTAGTCATTCCACCCCAATCCAGTTGGTGGCAGTAATGCACCAAATCGTTGTTTGCCAAGTGCCATAACACCACAAATAAGAATAAGAAGAGAAAGCAGAAGACGAAGAGAGGCAGAAGCGTTCGTAACAAACTCGAAGCGGCAGTCAAAACATTAAAGGAACTTTACGGAGTTTTGAGTTTTTATGCTCGCGATTGCCCCCTCAGGCCAAAAGCGTAACGGTAGCTACAATAGTAGGCTCGTGCACGAGGCGCGCATGCTGTACGTGCACACTCATTAACGAAAATAACAGCTGAGACAGTCCCTTGTGTGTGTGTGTGTGTGTGTGTGTGGCCTGGAGGATAGAGGACAGGAGAACGCGCAGCTAATTAATTAAATAACTTGGTTCTGTACCTTTCTCTTCAGCACAGCCGACAAAGGTTTATGACGGGTCAGTCCTCCTGCATGCTCAGATCATTCCCTTCCCTTGCTTGAAAAATTGTTCCAAAATGAAAGTTGAACCCACATCTTTTTTATCTGTGAATTCAATGCCGTTCGGCGAGTCTCAAATAAAAATTTGGGCATCTTACTGTAAAAAAAATATACCATTCATGTAAAAAAAGAAACTCTAAATAAACTATGTTCACGTCCAGAATCAAACCCACAGCACGAGAGTCTGACGTCTTACTAGGTGAGCTAAAGCGCCAGTGATGTAATTTGTATCTGTAACATTTATATCCTTGATGACAGCTGAAACAACGTTCAAAGAATGGTTCGGAGCTAAAATGGCTATTTTGTTGCTAATTTGCAGGAAATATCTAGAAGAAAGTTCTACAGAAAGTAGCTAAGGGTCCTCAGAAATGTAGCTAGCTTTGTTACTAGGCGTTAGGAACAGCGACAAAGACTAAAGTTACGAATAGCAAATGCTACGGGCTATGCCTGAGCGTGAACGCGCATGAAGCAGCCTGCTCGACCCGAGCAGCTCTCTTTTTCTGTGATTTTACAGAAAAACAGGCAATCACAGTAAAAATGCCAGGGCTCATTCTACAGGACCAGGACAATGCAGGAGAATGTATGAAGAAGAAATTTATTATTTCTATGCATGTTTGGCTGTCAAACTTCCATAATGCCCCTTTAAGCATGAAATGGAGTTACCCTAGTGGCTCCAATAAGAGAAAGAAGCAGCTTGCTTCAAAAAAGCTTTTATCTTCACTTTCGAAAGTGACGTCGTTTTTCTAAGTAAACATCAAAAGGAAGACAAAAGGAAAGACTATAGAAAATGTTTAAAGGGAGGAAAACATGGACCAAAATGGAAAATAGAAAACAATAAAAAAAATAAAGGCAAAAGCACAGGAGCACTGACAGGAAGAAGAAGGCACTCAAAGGGAGAGAAAGACAGGAAAAAAGAAGAGGACTAACAAAAAGGGAAAATAACTCATGTCAGAAGAGGGGAGAGTTTCGCAAATCCAGTTAAAGGTAAGATTGTCGAAAATTTAGTGTAAGGGGGCCATGTCTGTGTTCGCCTTGGGCCCCCAAATTGCTAAATCCGCCACTGCATAATTGCAGCAACATTGATTATTTAAACTGAAAATGTGCCACAGCAGATCAATAAAACAGCTTTTTCTCACACAAAGATTATCTATTGATTTTTTGCTGTTCTCTGAAGAAAAGACACTTCTAGTTCTACGTCTTTAGGAGAAAAAGATGTTTCTGTTTTTCCGCAATACCGACAGAAAAGCTGAATATAGGGGTCTGCTTAGTAATGCATTACTTAATACAGTTAAGCAGTTGTTATTACTTTATTCAATAGTTTATTAATGCTCAATAAAGCACTAATCCTAGTGTCAGCATCAATATTGTAAAGTTTTACCATTATTTAATATTGAGTTTAGATAAACCTTTTACTACTTCAACAAACTGATCAGGTAGGAGTTTTTTAATGTAATAATGCTTTAATAAGTTTACTCAGTAGCAAATGTGTAGTTAATAAATACTGCTAATTTCATTGATAGTTTTGATATATTGAGATTAAATTGTTATCTTGTTGAATAAAAAACCCATTTTATCTGATTGCGGTTTCCTGCAGAACTTTTGATTGTCTAAAAATGATAATGTTCTAGATTATTCTTGGATTAAGGATTAGATTTAAGGTCCAATACAGATGGAAAACAGAAGTAGGAATATTGTGTTTTGATGTTAGTTTTCTTCTTTTGTGCAGAGGAAGCACACCAAGCAGGTATGGGCCTTCTGATCCACTGCCAGGCAGGTGTGTCGCGTTCCGCCACCATCGTGATCGCCTACCTGATGAAGCACAGCTGGATGACCATGACGGACGCTTACAAGTTTGTCAAAACCAAGCGGCCCATCATCTCCCCTAACCTCAACTTTATGGGCCAGCTGCTGGAGTTCGAGGAGGACCTCAACAACGGAATAACGCCACGAATCCTCACGCCAAAGCTGATCGGTCTGGAAACTGTCGTCTAAAATGAACCCTCGACTGCTGCACAAGCCAGTTTGAGTTCAACAAAGATCTGAGATGTTGCTTGAACTCACCTCATCCTGGACCTTTTTCAGACCAGAGCCCCCGTGGGGAACGGAGTGAAGAAGAAATGCCTACATTTCTTACAGAGAGGACTGGGAGCCTGGAGGAAATGACGAGTCAGGCAGAGGAGAAAACAACAAGGAAGTATCGTTTTTATGTGATCAAGGAAGATATTTACAAAACAAACTCTTAAAATTCACACTGTGGCGCACAGTTTGTGTATGCAGATTCAGGCAGGGTTGGCCACAGCAGTGCCTGTCAAAAAAACCAGTAAAGGACATGTTTAGCGTGTGAATCTTGTTCTATTTTTATACCGCGGGTTTAAGGGGATGGCCACAACGAGCCCACGGCGGCTTACTGTGCAATAATTTCAGTGGAATGCAACTGATCTTATATGTGTATATATCGGTATTAACGAAAACATTTCCAGCATTTTGCTGAAGAACCATTTTAATGTTGTCCAGCTCTATCTGTCAACGGTGCAAACAGTCATTCTGTAATATTAGACGCTGATCTGTGTGAGAATCGGGAGGGGTTTGCTTTAAAGTGCAGCTTATGGGAATTTTTTTTGGCTTCATGTTTTATTTGTTCACTTCAGCATCTTCGTTCTGCCATTCCTGTGTCCACATGTATTTTTAGCAATACACGTATTACCAGGCAGCCATAAGAGCCATCTTTATATGCATGGCTGCTGGCAGAGGGAAGCACGCTGAAATTATTGTTGAATATTGTAAAACAGGGCTACTGGTTGATGTTTAATGTAACACGAGGGAGGATTTTTCACTGCCTGCTTCTGTCTCCTCTGTTTGTTTTTGCTCCACTTCACCCGTTAGCCTGCGCCATGCTTCCTTCCTCGCATACTGTCCATGTTCACTCACGTCTGATGTTCCTGGCAATGCCCAACTTTCTAAGCAATTATTTAGCCAGTTCTAAGGTAGCAGCGCTGAAATCCACTCCAAACGAACATTTATGTCCTCGTATGGGTTGCAGTAAGTGTGACAGTAGTGGTTCATTTGAGCAGGGTGACCTTTTCTCAGCTTTTGTTCTGTTGCTGCCCCCTTGTCACAGTTAAGTGAGCTCTTCTGCCTTTCATATGGTAGACCATCACTGCTGTCACCTGCCACTTCGGTGCCTCAATCAATGCCTTAATTCATGCGTCACACATTTGGAGCTTTATCAGACACTTCCTCACAGATCGACGTAAACCGGACTAAAACCGGACAAATTTAACTCTGCACATAATAATCATTTCTGATCATGCACACACTAACAGAGCAGCATTTAAAGATATGAAAGCATGAAACTATAACCTCATGTAACCCTGATCTAGTGGTTAGAAACAAAAAAGCTTGGTGTCATTGTGATCTTTGCACACAGAACACTTACACTTGTTTTCCAACAGAGTTTAATCAACCATGACCCGTATTACAGTACTGTTAATATACTGTAGGTATTATAAATAAAAAAGTACGATGGTTACAGAAAGTTTTTGGGATTATTACAATATTGGGTGAGTAAAATGATGCATTTTAATTGATTAGGTCATAGAAAATACATGGAATTATTTAAAGAGACAATGTGTCGTTTTTATCATTAATGTGGAAATATCCATCAAAAATATCGTTGAAAATTAATTGAATGAAGCCCAGTTGTTAAAATATTGACGACTTTGTAACATATAAACATAAAAATCGGGTCTAAAATACATGGGAGAGTTTCTAAGTCTCTGGGCGACGTCGTATTAGATACCATGTTTCCTCTACGGGAACCCGTGAGGACAATATTCATTTACAGATTTGTAACAAACGGTTACAAAACTTTCACCATTCATACCTTTTCACTCCTTGCCAGTGATGAAAGGGAGTCTGATGTGCTTGTCATTTCGATGGAGGTTGCACTCCCAGGAATTTTTGACCCTAACGGCAGTCTGTAGATAAGGTCTTACTCAAAACACAAAAGTACCGCTTGCTTGCAATGATTCAGGTATATACTGTCCCCTATTGCCAGGGAAAATACACGTCGCTTTAAAGACCAAGTTGACTGAAAACCTATTTTTTACTTGTTAGGCAGGCTAAACGTAAAAATAATAGTCTACCCCTATTTTCTGCGCCAATTTAAAATAGGCGGTGAAACTCTTTGAACAGATCTACGTCACACATAATTATCATTCATGGACTCACCCACCTTGGCTTGCGATGGGGAAAACTGTTGTTGGTTTACCGTCCAGGAGAGAGAAGAACACGTCTCTGCTAGTAGAAGCTAACTCTAGATCCTGTCGTCTTCTGCTTCTCTTTCCTCTGGCTACTTTCTAAATCCTGAAACAGGAACACCAGAGTGTGTCTCCCCCCCACAGACATCAACTCAAAGTCTGCTGAAAATGTGTTGGAAAAAAAAAAGTGAACTTGCTCTTTAAAGCAAAAATAAACAATAACTATGTTTTTTTATCTTTGCATCAAACAAGGGATTTTAGCATCTTGCTGGGCAAGCGACTGTTGGTGACAACTGCAAACAGCACATGTGTGAGTTTCTAAAGAAGCTTCAAAATGATCACGATTCTAAATTTGCAGGTCTTTGGTATGTCGCTGAAATTTATGAATATTTTTCAAAAATGTTTCTTGAAAAATTTACTCTAAGCAGCTGCAGAGTAACTAGGGGTGTCTGGAACCCGTCTGGAACTGTTCTCAAGTCAGTCTCTGTAAAATAAAACAAAAGTAAGAGAAAACGGCTTTTAACTAAGTTTAGACTGTTTGGAGGCTTAAAAATGTTAAAATGGCTCATAATATGAAGGCAAATTACAAAATTTCCATGACATTGCACAAACTTTGCGCAAATTTCACAATTTCTTTGCAGCTTTGACGAGCAAAACAATCTTAAATCAAAATTTGTGCATTTTCACACAATTCTGTGTCTCCAACCCATCGCCAGCGAGTTGGAGACACAGATAACAGATTACCTGTGGGATATCAGATCACTTAGACCACTTATCAGATTTGATCTTTTAAATAACCTAAAACATTTATTTAAGCGTCCAAATAGTGAATTGGGTTTGATCTGCCTGCACATAAATGACTAATGCCAAAAACCAAAAATATATAATCAAGCATCTTTATTCACTAACAATCCCAAAAACGTTCCTTCTGTTCCTCGGGTTCCATTTCGGCATAAAAACGAAGCACAGGGCCAACAATAACTTTGTCAAGGTGCCAAAACCCCATCGTCTCTTTCTCAACACACCCTCTGCAAACATTTCTATCTTTTAAAAGTCAACCCAAAGGAGGTTGAAGGAGGATGCAAGTACATCACATCACATTCACAACAACTAGCTGGAACAAAGCTGACCTTGGTGAAAAGTCATGCTATGCAAACTGAAATTGTAACAGGATGTTTCTAAAGGCTCCGGACTTTTTGAAAGCGAGCATCGCATTGGCGTCCTTACATGAAGTAAAAAATAAATCTATTTTTGTTGCAGTCATCACAAATGTCTAATGGTGCTTCAGTCTCTAAGGATCAGAAAGTGGAACATTGCTTATTATCTGAGCTGTTTTTACATTAGAATAAATCACTTTCATTCAAACTGCTGCAATCAGTGAAACATGGCTTTTAAAAAATTTCATGGGTCAATAACTGAACTTTGCTCTCCCGCCGAAGTGGAAGCAGGCTGTGTGCTCCTGGTGTCAGAGGGACAGGGTGATGGTGCTGTCCGGCTTTCTTACACTGCTTTTTCTGTGCAGGTCATGTCCCGATGACAGCTCCTTAAAGATCGTATTTATCCAGAATCACAGTTCTGGACCAGAACAGAACCGAGCTGTCAGGTTCCACGTCTCTACAACTAAGACTTTTGTACGAGTCTCCGCTTTAGGCTCGGAAGCTCTGATGGAAACCGGGCTTTGCTCCACAAGTCTCTGTATATTTCTTCGTGTCTGTAGTCAACAGTCAAGTATTTAAAGTATATAAATATATATATTTTCTTTGTATGCATATATTCATTACTATTTTTGCACTGACCTAATGAGAGATTTATTTATTTTTCCTTTTCCACAAAAAGGTGCTACTATACTGGAGGCCTTCTCCCACACCTTTTGCATGACTTGCTCAGAATTCCTCAACTGGTCTATCATTTCTCCTCCTATTCTCGAATACTTAACGAACTGTTGCAACCTAAGCACTGTAATTTTGTAATCCTTACTTGTGAGCTTTGAAATAAAGACGGAGGCTTTAACTATGGTGTCCTGGAGGCTTATTTTCCAGTTCTTCCCAATTAGTCACTTACTTGTTTCCGATATGGTCAGTTGAAGCACATGAAAGTAATCTAGAGATGAATCCACGTAAATTATCGTCTGACTCGACACTAGCTTTTAGCTCACTGTTTTTATGACTGGTGGTTTTGATTCATAAACTCCTCACAGCATTGTTTGCACGCTCAACACACATCCATCTGCTGCACACACATATCTGAAGTTATACTCTAATGCCAAGACAGAAAAGAAAACGGCCACTAGTTTCAGTTTACCTACAAAGGATGCAAGATCTTAGTAGCCTGACCTGCCAGACTTCTCTGTTTAATTCTGGACAGAGAAAAGGTCTGGGAACTCTTCTATTCCAGTAACCCCACCCCCTGAGAATTTTAACCGAGCCAATAAGCGCTGAGTAACTTACGTCACACACCATAATGCTGAGTTTAACATAAACATGAAGACTAAAGCGATGTTCGCTGTGGCTCTTTCCTCTGTTCTAAGTGACTTGGACACGTCTTTAAAACCACAACACGTAGAAGCGTTAAAAGCCTTTCTTCTAAAGAAAGAGATTTGCGCTGTCGCCAAACGCCATTTTTGACTACAGCTAAAAACTACAGCGTCGCGGACATCACACACAGCGACGCTCAGTTTCAGTTTATGAAATTAATTTCAGAATTTTGATGTTAATCTCAGAATTGTGGTGTTAATTTAAAAATGTTGATGTCAATCCCAGAATTCTGACTTCTTTTTAAGAATTCTGAATTTTTTCTCAGAAGTCTGACAGTGTCCTCATAACTCTGATGGTAATCTCAGAATTAAGATAGTAATCTCAGAATTTAGATGTTAATCTAAGAATTCTAACTTTAATCCCAGAATTCTGTCTTCAATCCCAGAATTCTGACTTTTTAAGAATTCAGATATTTTTCTCAGAACTCTGACTTTATTCTCAGAACTCTGACGATAATCTCAGAATTATGACGCTAATCTCAGAATTATGACAATAATCTCAGAATTATGATAATAATCTCAGAATTATGATGTTATTTTTAGAATTTTGATGTTAATCTCAGAATTTTGGTGTTAATTTAAGAAGTTTGATGTTAATCCTAGAACTCTGACTTCATTTAAAGAATTCTGGATTTTTTCTCAAAAGTCTGATGCTATGCTCAGATTTGCGATGGTAATCTCATAATTATGATGGTAATTTTAGAATTATGCCAATAATCTTAGAATTATGATGATAATCTCAGAGTTATCGATGTTAATCTCAGAATTCGAACTTTAATCCCAGAATTCTGACTTCAATCCCAGAATTCAGACATTTTCTCAGAACTTTGATGTTAATCTCAGAATTCAGAATTTTTCCTCAGAACTTTGACGCTAATCTCAGAATTATGACAATATTTTCAGAACTCTAATGATAATCTCAGAATTATGACGATTATCTCAAAACCATGATAATCTCAGAATTATTACATTAATTTCAGAATTTTGATGTCAATCTCAGAATTTTGGTGTTAATCTAAGAATTTTGATGTTAATCCCAGAATTCTGACTTCTTTTTAAGATTTCTGAAATTTTTCTCAGAAGTCTGACGTTAATCTCAAAATTATGATGTAATCTCAGATTTGTGACAGTATTCTCATAACTCTGATGGTAATCTCAGAATTCAGACAGTAATCTCAGAATTTGATGTTAATCTCAGAATTCTAACTTTAATCCCAGAATTATGTCCTCAGTCCCAGAATTCTGGCTTTTTAAGAATTCAGAATTTTTTCTCAGAACTCTGACGTTATTCTCAGAACTTTGATGTTAATCTCAGAATGACAACAATCTCAGAATAATGACATTAATTTCAGAATTTTGATATTAATCTCAAAATGTTGGTGTCAATAAAAATTTTTGATGTTAATCCCAGAATTCTGACTTCTTTTTAAGAATTCTGAATTTTTCTCAGAAGTCTGACATTACTCTCAAACTAATGATGGTAATCTCATATTTAAGACAGTATTCTCATAACTCTGACAATAATCTCAGAATTATGATGGTAATCTCAGAATTATGACCGTAATCTGAGAATTGTGACAATAATCTCAGAATTATGACATTAATTTCAGAATTTTGATGTTATTCTCAGAATTTTTGTGTTAATTTAACAATTTTGATGTTAATCCCAGAAGTCTGACTTCTTTTTATGAATTCTGAATTTTTTCTCAGAAGTCTGACATTAATCTCAGAATTATGATGGTAATCTCAGAATTATGATGGTTATTTTAGAATTATGGTTATTTTAAAATTATGACACTAATCTTAGAATTATGATGTTAATCTCAGAGTTATTGACGGTAATCTCAGAATTCTAACTTTAATCCCAGAATTCTGACTCCAATCCCAGAATTCAGAATTTTTTCTCAGAAGTCTGACGTTAATCTCAGAATTATGACAGTAACCTCAGAATTACAACATTATTCTCAGAACTCTGACAATAATCTCAGAAATATGACAGTAATCTCAGAACTCTGACAATAATCTCGGAATTATGACGTAATCTGTGATTAATGACAGTTATTTATGACAATAATCTTAGAATTTTTATGTTAATTTCAGAATTTTGATGCAAATCTCAAATTTATGCCGTTAATTTCAGAATTCTAATTTATTTCTTAGAGTTCTGACTTTTCCCTCAGGATTCAAAAAGTCAGAATTCTGAGAGAAAAAGTCAGAATTCGCTTTCTTGTCTTTTTTTTTCTTTAATCCTTTTCTGTACTACGAACATTTGACACAAGGAACTCTGCAAACTTTACTAAAAGTTTTGCAAAGTCAAACTGGAGAAAGAAGCAAAAGATGAACCAAGTGCAGCACATCATTATTAGACCCAACAACAACAAAACAGTCCTCGCCGTGTGTATTTTCAGAGGCATCCTTTGCCAGTCTCCTGACATTTGATCATCCAGAGTACACATCCAAAGTTGTTAATTATCTGCACTTGCCTCCATTCAGCCATGTGTCACATAGCAACATTAGTTACGAGCCTATATTTACTCCACCTTTGCAGACATCTGCTGCCTCATGCCCGGTGGGGAACAGGCGTTTATAGGGGGCAGCCTGAGGGTCAAGATCCCTCCATAGGAACAAGTACAAAAATAGGTTTTAGCGTTGCTTCTAATTACAAGTGATGAGTGACTCCCGCCTCATTAATCCTTTCCTATCAGCACTCGGGCCGGCTGGCAGAACCAGAATAGCCCTGATCTTTGTGCTGCTGCATGCTGCTCTCCAGTCAGCTCTGCATGCACGTATTAGGTGAAAAAAGGGAGGCCAAAGAGGAGGATCTACCTTTTTTCTGCAGATGCTAACTCATGCATTCAAGTGTGTGCATGCGTCTAAAACAATAAAGGTGGTGAAATAAAGCAGCGATGATGTATAACCATTACGACTGCTGCACAGGTTACATTTAAGCTTTTTTTACAAAGTCCTAGTAAAATTTAAAAAAATACGATTAACATCAAAAATGTCTCTCTTGTTTAGGAAATTTCTAAAATACAATTTTAAAGACGACAAGATAAAGAATTGATGAATACCATAACTGAGCATGGAGACTGTTATGTAATTTGTTTTATTGATCTTTTCAAACAAACAACAGTAAAGCTATTAGTGCAATTTAGCTCATTTTTGGGTTGGATTTTCTTCTCATTGCCTCTGTGATATCGATAAAGTTCTTAATTTGTAAAGTGTAGATTATCTATTGGGAAAGAAATCTAATATATTTCTGTATAAATGATGAAAATGGCTGGTACTAGCTCTGATGTGCAGATAGGACTCATTTCAAATAGCTATGATTAACAGAATTCATGTTTTTTGGATGAATCTGTGATTATGATTCTGCAAATAAAAATGTTACATTTTAAAATCCATTCTTTCTAGCGTGAATTAGACCTTAGCACAGGAACTTGGATGGATTTGCGATCTGCCAATCACAGATTGAGATGCAGAAATTAATCAGATTCCAATCATCGGTCAATTTTTCAGTCCATCTCTACAATTTAATGCACCACCCATGTTCTGTTGGGTGACTACATCTGACCGTACCATCCCTGTGACGTGGAGTAATTTGGATGAGCTGTCCTACTCACTGGGATGCCCTTGTGCTGCAAACATGTTCTGGCCTGTGGTCCTCTGCATCAGTTCTGAATCATAGATGAAGATACAAACTGGAGTGTGAGACAGGGATGAGGTCGAGGAGTAAGCTGCAAAGAAAATCAAGGCCCATTTCACAGAATGCATGAAAAAACATTGCAGTCACTCTGCGTGGTGGGCGTAACCACGTCTCTGTAAATTAGAGGATGTAAAGATGGATGGGTGAGCAAGGACAAGGAAAAACAATGGCTTTCTGCAAGATTAGAGTGATATTGAACAATAGCTCATTTGGTCTATGCAGAGACTAGATAAAGCGCTGGTCAAACGTGTCTGCTGAGCCAGGACTGCAAAATGAAGGGAGTTTATTCTGTTAGATTCTCTTGTCAGGTGTCATTACACCTTAGACACGCAGCAGCCACAGCACGACAAACAGGTCAGTGCTCGGTGAGGTGACACAACGCCATACGTTGTACAGTTTGTTTAGACTCCTTCAAGTACTTCAAAAGGAAATAACATCATTAAAAAGGAAAATATTAGGATTTTAATCTTGTTTTTGAGAATTTAGGTAACAGTTCAGAAAAAAGTTAAACGATTACGATAATAGTCAAGAATAGTTATTTATTTGAGACTAAAAGGCAAATTAAATACTAAACCAGCCAGGTGTAAAAGATTTAAGCACTAAATATTAATATTAATGACAACTCTACAAAGTAGAAAATAACAGTATTTCAATCTACATCAGCAAGTTAAGAACTACACGAGTCAGTACCTGAAAAACAAAATTTTCTGAGCTGTATTTATTATATTTTAGTCCAAACAATGTCCCATGTGTTTACATGGAGGGGGCGGG